CGAGGAGTAAAGGGAATTGGCTAGGTTCAATCAGTATTCCAGAGCCCTTGTCCCTTCCACTACACCACAGCAGCTGCAGACCAGCCAAAAAGAGAGTGGTTACTTATTATTCCAGGGAAGAGTGGTCATTTCTCATTGGAGAAAAAACTGAGACCACCGAGATACAAACTTCAGGTTCCAGGTCCCCCTGCTGGCCCCAGCATCTAGACCTCTTGCCCTCTAGTTTCAAAATGCTGGGTCATTTTGGCAATCAGGTGTACCAACAGGACAGCTTACCAAATTCAGACAGCAGCCTGGGCTAGATGAATCTGAACAGGTCATCCGCAGCCTGGTCCTCTTCCTCCTCTGAAGAAGTGTGCAATTCTTCAGGTGTGCAATTTGGGACGTACTTTGACCTGAAAGAATATGTCTCAATGCAGGCTGTCTAGTACCCACCTGTTCCCCAACCTGCACAGCCTGAAGACCTCGATGGGGTGTCCATGAGCTCAAAGAGCCGCAAAAGGGCCCATTGGCAAGAATGACCCCTACCCATGGCTGACACCACCCTTAGCCTCCTGGACCCTCAATAACTCACCTTCCCCACTGACACCAGAATGGTGGGTCTAGCTGCCCTAGAGGGTGCATCTTGTTGTCCTGAGAGATGAACTGCAGGAGGTGCCTTCCTCTGGGGAATTGGAAAGGTGGCCTCTGCATCCCTTCCTGGCTGACCATCACCACTGTCACACTGCTCTCCATTGTCACTGTGATCTGGCCACAAAAGACCCAACAGGAAGTCATTACACAGTGTGGTGATAGGGACCCTCCCTGAAAACACAGCCCCCAGGCATGCCTAGCCAGACCCATGGACCTGCTCTGAAAGTCTGTGAAAGGCCTGGGTAGAAAGGGGTAGGTTTAACCTCTCCTGGTCCCTCTCATCCCACCTGTCATGGTTGTTGACTGAAAACTGTAGGACATGAGCAAAAAGGATGTGATTGATCTTCCTTCAGCTACCCTTCAAAGCAAAAGAATGCACCCAAACAACCCCATGGTCCTCAAGCACACTCTACAAATCAACCTGACCTCTTTTTGCATGGAGGCTTTTAGACCTGCCCCTTCTCAAGGCTATAGTGCACTGTTAGCATATCTGTTGAGCACTTGCTGTATATGAGCATGGCACATTATGGGCGCCATGTAATTGTAGTACTCAAACATAAGACAAGTCTATTTTACAAAACATAAAACTGTGATGTTATGTACCTTTATCCAGGGTCACACAACTGATTAGTTGCAGGGCCTAGATCTGAACTCAGGTCTACCTCGTTAAATCAGCTTAATGTGTTGTGCCTTAGTGGGCCAAGAGTCTCTTGCTTTCCATAGAAGGATGGCTGTCTGCTTGTGAATAGACCTTCTTTGAGATTTATAGTAGAACTTTGATGATTAAACCCCAGAACTGCAGAGCACTGATTTGGGAATGACTAATACGTAGGTTCCAGTCCAGGCTCTGGAGATCACAGGCTGTGTGTCTTTGTGCCAAGGTGATTCCCCAGCTCTAAACTGGGATTGACAGCGCTCCTAGCACTGGGTCATCGTGATGATGAAAGACAAGACATGTAAACCCTGGCTGTGTAGCTCAGTTGGTGTCCTATTATGCCCATGTTGTATGTACAATCCCCTGTCAGGGCACATAAAAGAATCAGCAAATGTCACTTGTTTGAGTTTGCACAGGTAATAAGGGGATGGAGACAGGGAGGGGATCAAGGAGGAACACCCCAGTCCTGGGTAACCCCCACTATCTTTACTTTGTTTGTGGCAGTGCAGGTAAACAATCACATCCAGGCAGATGGACATGGCATAGTCACAGTAGATGCTGGAAGGGGAGGGAATGTTAGACCTTCGTGATATCTGCCTAGCTCACTGTGGGAAAGGGCCCAGCAGGCCAGAGGAACACACACCCATGGGCTCCTACAACCTTCTCACCAACCCCACCTGTTTCAACATTTGTATCACAGTCTTTCCAGACTCTATCTCCCTTATTTGGAACAAGCACCCAATTTTACAATCCCTTGTTGCCCCAACTCCATGCATCTAAGGCTGACCACACCAACCTGTACCTGAATATTCCAGGAATGGCCACCTGACTCAGGCTTGGCAAGTAAGCACATTTCACAGTTTTAGCCAGAGACTGGTTCGCTAATGGCACTATACAGCAGGGATGACCCTATAACCCAATGAAATTCTATTATTGCATTGATGTTAGAAATGCTGGGAACGATGCTAGGAAAGTAGTGGTAAGGATGCTAGAAGTTCGGAAATGAGTGGGACATGGCAAGAAAAAGCCTGCCTGAGATCAGTCAAGAGTCACAGAAGCAGAGTCAGACAAGGATAGCAAGTATTCAGGTCTTCCTCATCTGATCCAGCCATGCCTGACACCACTGCCCCAACATGTTTTCAGTTCATGTTTACAAATGCTTATGTCAGCTTGAGTTTGGTTTTCTGTCACTGGTGTCTGAGTCTTAACTAACTGACTCAAATTTCAGTCCACCATGTATCCAGGGACAGGAGTTGAAATAAGCACTCAAGGGCATTAACTTCACAAGTCCCAGCAGTGACACTTGAAGGCTTCCATGAGCTCCAGTTTCCTCTACTGAAATAGGGGATGGTAATAGTACCCACTGCAGAGGATTGCTGTGAAGATGAAATGGAATCACATATTTCAAAGGCTCATATCCCACAATGAGATTGGCAAATATCATACATTTAAAAAGTACCTGGTTGATGGTGCCTGTGATTATTTACTTAAGACTTGTCATTTTCAAATCAAAGCCTACCGCTGTCGTGAAATAGATTGCTTTTGCCCTCAGAACACAATTGGATCATCAGCCAACAGGAACGAGGGCTTGGTGGCACCACAGGAATGCACTGATCAGGTCTCCTTCATGGAGCCTGGCCGTGGGGAGATGAGTTGAACATCAGCTGTACGCACCACGATGTTTGTGCCAGGACTGAGCACACAGGGTGCTAGTGCCAGCCTCTTCCTGTGGGACAGGGGACTCCTGGAATGGTCACTTTTACCTTGGGACTTGCAAATGATCTGGCCAAACAGTCTAAGAACTGCACTGTATGAAACTCCTCCTGCCCAGCATAGCTGGTCTAGGGGCTCCCACTGCTGCCTCCAGGTTCTCACGTTCCTCCTGCATATCTCATCCTGGCTTGTTGTCTGCTTCCTGGAAGACCCAAACTGACACAGGCTTCAAAGTCAGACAACATTCAAATCCTAGTTATGACACCTACATTGAACCAGTCCCTCCTCCTCTCTGAGCCTCAGTTTCTCCAGCTGGGAAAGGAGTAAGTTGGAACATAAGCTCTCTCAAGGATTCCTGAACTGGTCTCATCTGAGTCCATAGAATGTCCTTGGAGGACAATCAAGTCCACAAGCCATTTTTGGAGTCACAGCCTCACTGAGACATTCCCAACCTGAGTCTGGACAGGCCCTTTCCTTTGCTCCAACTCAGTGCCCATCACACAGGGTTGCAATTGACAAAGTTTTCTCTTCTGCCACCCTGAGGGGTGCTGAATGCCAGGAGTGGGGCTGGGTTTGTTCACTTCTGCAAGATGCTCAGGGAATGTTCATGTTCAGATGAATGGTAGTCCCTGGGAAGCTTGTAAACAAAGCAACTCTTTAACTACCACAAACACCTGCGAGAGAGAGCGCTGCAGCCACAGTCCCTCTGGATCCGTGTAAATCTTCACCAATGATCCCCAGGTCAGAGAGGCATTTCCAGGTGTCATGCTTCCTGCTAAGGACTTTGCAGGCATGTTCCCACTGACTCCTCCCACATGCCCTTTCAAGGGTTCCATTGCCACATCCCACTTAGTAGCTGAACAACCGAAGCTTAAGGAGGTAAAGTTCAATTTCTAAAGTCATTCAAATCAGATTAAGGAGCAAGAGCAGTGTTTTTTTCAGTTTTTGCGTCATATTTTTAGCAGCTTTGAAGGGTGAAACTGCTTTGTCAGATGGTGGTGGGGTGTAATAAGAAAGCAGTGTAGGAGGACTGCAGCTGCTCCATATGTCAGGGCTCAGATTTGAGTCTGACTTCAGAACCCAAATAGCCAACTCTTTGGGAATTATCTCCTCTCAAGTATTAGGAAACCTAGTTGGGAAATGCTAGAGGGAGAGTTGGGAAAAGAGAGAAGTCCTGAGCCGCTTGGAACAGGAACCATTCCCCTTACCTTCATTGTCCCCAAAGAGATCCTGGCAAGTCTGGGTTCCTCCTTTCTACATGCTAACACCCACATTGCTGACCCCTTGCCATTTCTCTTTCCTGAGCCCCAGGTGAAAGTAACAGGAAACAGATGGCTAAGGAAGTTCAGAACCCAGGACTAGGGATGTCCCAGCATTGGCCATGATCTTGAAAGTGCAGATTCTTTTGGACGTAAATATGGAGGTGCCGACAATGTGTTTGTTCACAGAGAAAAAGGTGATGCTGACACATGGAGTCCCTGATGATTTGAGCTGGGAAGGGGGAAGTTACTTGGAAATCATTTGGTCCAAAGTCTCTCCCAAAACATTAGCATCAAAATTTTCATCTCACCCAATCCTGGGCTTAAGTTCAACCAACAAACAGGGGCCTTGGGCTTTGATGAATGGATTGATGGCTGGCTTAAAAGGTGGGTGGACAGATGGACAGGAAAACAAAAGGACAAATGAATGGAAAGATGGGTGAATGGGTATAAATACAGAAACATGGGTGAAGGAACTGTGGGAAATGTTGGAACAGGTGGATATAGTAGAAATAGCAGTAGTGACTGGCTAGCTGACAGTAGATATGGACAGATGACTTTCATAGAGGGAAACATTGGCATGTGGATGAATGAGTGGATGGAAGGAAAAACTGGCATATTGATAATTGAACTGATTGTGGAAATACTGACAGATGAATGAATAGATGAGTGAGTAGGTGAATGGATGGATGGATGATTGAGCAGCATGGATTGAAGGACAATTTCTCTATGAGATGGAGTCAGACCCCAATGGAAGATCTGGGCCCAAGATGAACGTGAACTAGCTGAAAGAGAATGTCATTCTTACCATACAGCAGGGTAGCCCAGAAGTTCTGGTGCAGGGACTTCACAGAGTCGTGGGCAGAGAGGGATGGGCGGACACCCATGCTGCCACTGCAATGCCTCTTCTGGAACTGGCAGTGTAAAGAGAGGTAGATGATGAGGCCTGGTGCCACCTTCAAGACCCCACTGCATTCTGTTTCCCAACTTTAAGGCAGGAACAAAGTCTAACTCCCCTACAGGTCCCACTGCCCACCCCCCTCACACAGAGGGCTGAGTGCTTGGTGAGTGAGTCCTGGGGCAGGGGCAGACTGTGGATCCAGTGCTTCTGAATGAGCTCATCAGCAGAGAGGTCAGTCCAGAAGTGATCCTCTTTCTTCATCTTGGTGCATTCCAGTGCACAGGGCTCACTGCTGAGCAGATTGGGGCTGGCAATACTGAGCCCTGGAAAGTTCACCCTCCCATCTACCACCATATGGGCCCCCATTTCCCTGCCCCTCTCCTCAATCCAGCTAGAATGCCTCAGGAAAGGTCAAGGAAAAGTCAACATAAGACCCTGGGTGCAAGAGACAGGGAACAGATACTTTTGGATGGTGGAGAATGGAGGGAGGTGAGAGAGAAGGTGCCCCATGAGCCAAGAATAAAAAGATTTCAGTTGGAGCTCAGAGCACAAGACTACTTACTTAACAAAGACATAGCATGGGACCACCCCCAGGATCCATCAGGAGAGCTTCCTTTCCCAGTATTCAGTAGCAAGAGGAAACACATGCAAGCTTGGATGGTGACCACCAGAGGGCATACTGTCCCCAGTGGCCTAGTGGTTAAAAGCAGACAGATTGGTTTCAAGACCCTCTTGTGACCTGGCTACCTCTATAAGCCTCAGATGCCCCATCTGTAAACAGAAGATCATAATATTTCTCACAGAATGACTGAAAGGAGGGAGGCAACAGATGTAAGGCGCTTAATTTAGCAGGGTCCTGGGCCTGGTCTCCTGAATACATAGCTGTGATAAAAGCCTTGATGAAGTGACAGAAATAATGATTAGAAGGCTGCTGGAGCTTGTCTGTTTCTGTTTGCTTCTGTGGCATCTTCCATTGCAGACAAAGCCACTCAAAGGCACAGATGGCACCTACTCATCTACTGTTATTGAGAGGATGAAGTGCTTTTCAGCTGTGGTTCTCCCAAAAAGGCTGTTTGAACAGACCTTTCTGTCCAGGTAACTAATGGAAACAATATGGCTTGACACACTCAGAAACATCTCTGGCCACTGACTATATGACATGATAGGTGAACCCATCAATACTACAGTGTCTGTGCGAAAAGTTTTTGAGATTTATTTGAATTCTTTACTGATTTCTAAGTCTTGGCAAGCCTCATGCTGTCCAGAGAGTAACAGAATTTCAGAGTTGGAAAGGACCTTGTTCTGACCACTTGAGGGAACTCAGGCTCAGAGAGGGTAAATGACTTACTGGAGGACACACAGCAGGTGGATGCTCGCAGGGACTACACGCAACTGGTGTGGCTCTTCCCATGGTACAGCCTAGGGTGAAAGATAGAAGATCTAGAACCAGACAGACTGAATGGGAGCCCACACTCTCTGGGAGGCCTGGATCTTAATTTTGCCTTTGAGATCAGTAAAGAAGGACAAAAGATAGTCACATTGGGACCAATATTCAAATAGGAAGAAGTTCAGTTCTGTAGGAAAATAAAGAAATAGCAGCTAAAACAAATTTTATTGCTCCTGAAAAAAATGCATAAGAATTAAAATAAAACACACACAATAATACCAATGAGCGTGAAGATTAAATTGGTAAAACACAATTTTATATATTGTTTATTGGTAAGCCAAAACTCATCTGTTACTTATATCATTCTGTCACCCCTACTCTCATTATCTATCTGTCTGTCTGTCTGTGTGCATGTTTGTCTATCTATCTCTGTTGGGAATAAGTGCTGTCCAAGAAGTGTTTGATTATAGACTTCTAAGTAACCTTGAGAAGCAAACTTAACATGACAGGGACGGCGTTATGACCCTTTTCCTGATCATCATCCATCCCCTAATCAGCAATACCTGAAAATTTAGCAGAGGGGCGTGAAGATCAGGTGGCTGAGGATTCAGATACTAGAAGCCATATCCAGAGCCCTGCTCTTCATGCAGATCTGGCCAGCAGCCCTAGGCAGGCAGGGCATGAAGGTTAGGCAAAGGGCCCTTTTCCTCCAGTAAAGGGCAGTGAGCACTCAGGACAGAGATGGTAAACCCAAGGCAGGCTGATCTCTCTGCCTTCCCTTGCCTGGTACAGACATAGTTAATCAATCCACACACACTTTCCCAAGAAGCCCAATCACAGCTGCAGAACCTTTCACAAAATGGTACTCCTGGCAGCCAGCTGCACCAACTGGAGTTGCAACCTGTTTCCATCCCTGACCAGGCTCCAGGTTGGGGGTTTGGCTGAGCAGTCAGAACTCTAGGGTTGATGCTGGTGAGAAACTCTTCTGTACAAACACTCAGGCCACCAGCCTCCCCCCAACACATACAATTAGCCACCAAGAGGAGCTTGTGAAGCCACTTCTCCCCTTTATTTATTTTGAAAAAAATATATTTTATTGATTTTTTTTTTTTTTTGCAGAGAGGAAGAGAGAGGGATAGAGAGTTAGAAACATCAATGAGAGAGAATCATCAATCAGCTGCCCCCTGCACACTCCCTATTGGGAATGTGCCTACAACCAAGGTACATGGCCTCGACTGGAATCAAACCTGTGACCTTTCAGTCCGCAGGCCGATGCTCTATCCACTGAGCCAAACCAGCTTCGGCCACTTCTTCCCTTTAGAGGTTGCCTCAATGTGAGTTTGAAATGGGTGCTATATTGGTTCTATGAAACGCTGGTCTCCCTGCATTTAGAAGGCACTTAATCACTCAACACTTGTTTTGGGGGCATTTACCTGATGCTATGCTCTTCCAGACACTGGGTCCATAATGCAGATGTAGTTTCTTGTCCTCATGAAGTTGGGTCAAAAAGGGGAGACAAACAACAGTCATTAAATATTAAAGTAACATACATAAATACTAGTAATTAAAGATGGTGATAAGAGTCGTAAAGAAAAAACAAGGTGATATGGAAGAGAAATTGGGTTAGGGTTGGAATTTAAAATTAGCCAGGGGAAGACCTGAGTATGATAAGGAGCCAGACATGGAAGATGAGGAATGAGCACAGGCTCTGGAGTGGAAAAGAGTCTGACGGGTGTGTAGAGCAGAAAAGAGAGCAGAGATTGCTGGGAGGCACGCGCTCCCACAGAGCACAGTGAGGAGCATGGACTGTCTGGGGAAATACCTCAGCCTGTACCCCGTGCTCTGAACTCACATGTTCTACACCAGCTGCTCCAAGTCCTGGACTTTAAGGCTTGGACGCACAGCAGATGGGACGCTCTTGCCCACCTTTGTGAAGAGAGCCTCGATCTTGTTGCTGAGCAGGAATCCAGCCAAAGTCCATGCAGAACACAGCCCTCCACACCCACTGCAGGGACACAATGGTTAGCAGGCCCTATCCCGCACATGCTCCCCAGCATCCCACTCCGTGAGAGTTTCATTCACCTGGAGAGCCAGGGGTGCCCAGAATCACAGATTTGTGACAACATCACAGGAGCAACACAGGGAAACACCAGGAGCCCCTTGTCTATTGACCTAAGGCCTCTGACCACACACAGGGTTTGGACAATAGTCTCCTCCCACCCACATTTGGGGAACGCTGCAGGGCAGAGTTAGGAGTGGGGTGCTTGTGTCTGGGCACACAGTGTGCTCCCAGGTGGCACAGGTCAGGGCTGGAATTCTACTGCCTGTTTAGGAGACCAAACATGGTCCCAAATGGGAAGAGGGTGGCTACAGGCTGCTTTTGGAGGAAGCTGTTGTGAAGCCAGCGTTTCCCTGAGAGACCTGAAGGGAGTGGAAAGCCAACCTGGAGGGAAAGGCTCCAGTTGATGGGCGATGGTTTACTGCCCAACCAAATCCTGGACAGTCAATGAGGGGGCCCTGAGGGCAAGTCTCTTCTCATTGAGCCTACCACAGAGGGGTGGAGCCAGGACCAACAACCCACCAAAGGCAGCCCTTCCTGGCAGTGGTGGTGGGCCCTTGAATGGAAGTAAGGGAGCTCTGTTTGGGTGCAGCCTAGAAGATAATGCGTGGGGGAGTGGGAAATAGTGCCTCCTAGCATGTGGGTTAATTATTGGTTATTTATTAATTATTGGTTATTTATTAATTATTGGTCTGATTTTTTAAAGAGGATAATTCTATAATCCAGTTTAAATATTTTTTATATTCTTTAAGATAATTTAGTTATACAATCTATGAAGCATATATATATATATGTTTAATCTTTCCAAGTTATTTCAAGACTAAGAGTGACTTTTAGACAGGTAACCGGCTACATCCTTTCTCAATTCCCACCTCCTACCTCAGCCTGGTTCAACTTGCCAGGCATGCTCCTGCACCAACTCCCTCTAACCCATTCTCTGGGCAGTGAACAGCCTGTGCCCTGACCCTCTCAGGTCTCTTCAAGAAACTCTCAGGCCAAAGGCCTTGCTTTGGGGTACAAACAAAGCGTTTGGAGCTTCTGTAAGAACTCCGTTGATGGCTCAGCCATCTTGTGGCCAAGCAATGCCAGGCCATTAACAGCAAGGCTGTTGCTTGCTGTGCCCACAGCAGACTGGGTAGCTGCTGGGGTTGGGGGCCAATGGATGAACCCCTAGGGGAGGCCAGCAGGCCCTGGAGCTGGGCCCTGGCTGGTAGGAAGATACCTCTGCTTGGGTGCACCTCAGGTGTTTCTCAGTGCTGGGGCCCTCCGTGCTGGTCTCTATGGCAGTGCCCATGAGCTTTTGGATCTTCCTGCCTGAATCCCCACCAGAGCTGGTATTGGGGGGTAGGGGAGTGCTGGGGCCCTAGGGACTGGTCTCTATGGCAGTGCCCATGTGATTTCTGGTCTTCCTTCCAGAAGTTCCCCAAGAGCTGCCAGTAGAAAGGCCAGAGGGAGTGCTGGAGCCCTCAGTGCTGGTCTCCATGGCAGTGCCCTTGTGCTTTTGGGTCTTCCTGCCCGATTCCCCCCATAGCTGGTAGTGGGGCGGCCAGACGGAGTGCTGGGGCCCTCGGTGCTTATCTCTATGGCAGTGCCCTTGTGCTTTTGGGTCTTCCTGCCTTAAGTCCCCCAAGAGCTGAGACTGGAGGGCCAGAGAGAGAACTGGGGCGCACAGTGCTGGTCTCTATGGCAGTGCCCTTGTGCTTTCTAGCCTTCCTGCCACAACCACCCTGAGAGCTGGTAGTGGGGTGGCCAGAGGGACTGCTGGGGCCCTCGGTGCTGGTCTCTATGGAAGTGTCCTTGTGCTTTTTGGTCTTCCTTCCAGAAGTTCCCCCAGGGCTGCCAGTAGAGGGCCCAGAGGGAGTCCTAGGGCCCTCAGTGCTGGTCTCTATGGCAGTGCCCATGTGCTTTCTTGCCTTCCTG